ATTTACCTCTTCTGTTATGATAACCAAAATAAATAGAACTGAATCATTTCTCTGACAAAAACAAATCAAGTACAAGAGAAATTGCGTCAATAAAAAAACCTTTTTCTTTTTCTTTTCTCTTTCTTCCTTCTCTCTATTGCGATTGAGAAATATATTTACTGAAGATAATCAATGTAACAATTGCGCAGTATTCTACCTATATAAGACGCACCTTCAACGCTATTTGACACACAAAACTTTCAAACAAGCTACAAACAATTATTTTCTCTTGTGAATAAAACATTTACAATGTCATCTAATCAACAACAAAATGCTAATCGCAATCAACAACAACAAAATCAAAATCAACAAAATCAACAAAATCAAAATCAAAATCAACAAAACCAAAATCAACAAAATCAAAATCAAAATGCCCAACAACAATTAGGAGGTGCTGGTTCAAATCAAGCTGCACAAAATCTTGGTAAGAATAAATTCATTATTTTATTTTTATTCTAAAACTTCAATTGAAAGTCTTATTTTAGTCAAGAGTTAACATATGAATATATTTTTTTCTATCGAATATAATTGAGTAGAAAAACTAGTGAAAGCAAAACAATGAGAAAGTTAAATTTTTATCTTGGAAAACTATCAAATATATCCGAAAAAGTTTTTCCAACATCATTCAAGTGATAATTTTTTGTTTAAAGAATTCAGATCAAAATCAATTTATTCATAGAGTAGAATATTATATAATCTATTTTGTTTTATCTATTCAAGCTGGACAACAACAACAAAATCAACAAAACCCACAACAACAAAATCAACAACAAAACCAACAAGGTGGTGCTGGCAACAACCAACAACGTCAATAAACATAATTGACAAAAATACACAACTTAATGAACTTTCTCGTTCATTTTATTTCAACAATCAACTTTTTGTATTATTTATTCATGTAATGCATGCATTACTTATGATTTTTCTGTTCTTTTTTTGTCTCTTAGTGAAGCTTCAAATTTGATTACACTAAATAAAAATGTGTATATTTCAATTTTCTTTGTCTTGTATGGAAATTAAGCAGAAAATTACGGAAGATTTTATTTGAATGTTATCATTTAAAGCAAAAGATAAGGCAAACCATGGTAGCTGAAATAATATATAAGAGAGGAAAAAGTAAACTATCGTTCTCAACATATACTTCTATTCTCAATGGTAAAGTTTTCTTGTTAACATAAACTATTCTAAGAGAAAAAGAAATTTTTATAAAGACTCAATAAATAAGTTTATTTATATTGAATCATTTTCTAAAGCATATCTATATAAATAAATCGATGATGAATCTTGAAATATCACAAAAAACAATTCTTATCTCTCTGGATACGAAGAAAGACAGATAATTCAATATAAAAAATATAAAATTCAGAATGTATTAGAAGATGTTTCTTGAAAAAACAATGAAGCAAGAGAAAGATTATTTGAGATTCCGCAGAAAATTACATTTATGTTCGATATGAAGAATAGAGTCGACGACGAAAGTTCAAGCAAATTTCTTTGTTTCAATGTTTTTTTACACATTTGTTTGTTAAATTTTTCTTTCACACAAAGAGATAGTTATTGGATTCAAGTGCTGACATATATGCTCATGTCACGGAAACCGTATCACTTTTAGCGGTGAACAGTGATTCACCGATAATTCTACCGGTCTACTGTAGTTCATCCATAATTTTATTGATTAACTGTAGTTATCAGAAAAGAGTGGTCGAATTTCAATGACATGAAACTCGACGTCAAGCTTCGTAGGAATCAGTGGTATATCAACGATTTACTAGCGGTAGCACTTTAGACTTCCAGTGCCAACTATCAAAGAATGTAGACAGCGTTTTCTATCCAAATTGGAATTTATTATTAGAAAGAATTCGAATTCATGGAGAATAATCAATTTCATAGTATATTTAATTAATAAAAAAGTTTTGCAGCAGCATTTACAAAAAAAAATGATTTCAGAACTGGAATCGATTTGGACCATGTAATTACTGGAAATGATGCAGGCGCATCAGCAAAATCACGAATATTCCAGAATTGACACAATGCTGCCCGTTTTAAGAGACTTCAAAAATATCCAGCCATTTTGATACAATACACCACCATGCACTACTTTCAAAAACAAGAAGCACTTTTTACCCGGTTCGAATCACATGGAACATTATTACATTCAGCTTAGTCAAGCTTGGAGAAGTATTCTTTGAGTTTCACAAAAATTGTGTGTCGATGTCGCTTTTCCGGTTTGATGTGAGCAATTCATATAGAATTGTAGCATGATTTTTCAAAATATCTTCTTCAGATATGCATCCACAAAATCTGTATTCACGTCGTTTGATTAATCGTCATACGTCATACTGAAAGGGTCGAATGGAATTATTTTTATTCTTTTTGTTTTAGATTTGATCCAACACCTAATCCAAATGTAACCATGTAGTTAACAAAAAAACTGGTTTTTTTATATTTAGATTTGCTTCAATAGCTGATCCAAATGCAAATATGAATTAGTCAAATAAAACTTCCCAGTCATTTATAAAATAAATAATTTATTTTATACTGATGGGATGTGAGCGGGTGAGATGGTAGGGATAAAGAACTGGATTGACGATGGTTAATCACAATTTACCGTCGGTTGGCTATGGTTAACTGCAGTTAACCGGAGAAAACCGTCAGTTTACCGTGGTAATGGGAGCCGATAACCGGACCGGTGAGCCTCTGGTTTTTATCACATGGGATAGTAAGAGAGGCCGATTACATAATATAGTATTGGAGGAGACTCTATCTCTCTCTATAGTTTTTTTTACAATTAAAATAATTCCTTCCGATCGAAAATAAGTTTTAGTAGTTTCCAGTATTTGATATTTCATAACCAAGAGATTTTTGTTAAAATGAAACAAAGTACATCACTCAATAGAGAATCTTACGTTCTATCTGTTTCTAAAGATGAGTTCCGTTCTCAAAGTTAGTCTCACACCGAAAGACTTAATTCTAACCAAAATAAATAGAAAAAAACTGACTGTTTTTTTTTATCAAAATGATTAAAAAAGAAAAGTTAATTGTATTTGTCGAAACCTATTTTTCAAACAGATGGATGTAAAAAACCGCTGGTATTAGAACTTAAAATATACCATTTTGTTCAGTTTTAAATGCTCTTTCGAAGGATGTATAATACATTGCGATGAGGGAGAATACGTAGGAATCAATTTCACTTTTTCCAGCTATTCTTGCTAGAATCAGGTTTTTGGTGTGAAGACTAACTTTGAGAATGGAACCCATCTTTAGAAACAGATAGATCGTGAAATTCTCTATTGACTGGTCTACTTTTTTCATTTTAATATAAATGCCTTGGTTATGAAATATAAAGTACTCAAAACTACTAAAACTTATTTTCGCTCGAAGAATTATTATTTTAGTCATGATAAATCTATATAGACAGATGAAGTTCCCTTAAATACTACATAATGTAGTCGGTTTCTCTTACTATCTATATCATCACTTGAATCAGATGAGTATCTCTTCATGTGAAATAAACATTGTAAGAAAGAAATTCACTTAAATCTTTGTCGTCGACTGTAATACTTTTTCGTTTGAAGCTGACTTTGAAGAAATTTTTTGCATATATTTTACAAAGAAATATTTTCTTAGTTATAACATACAGTCATCATAATATGCATCCGAGTATGTAACATAAAAATGGGTTTACAATGAGAAACATTCTCTGTAAAAACATGTTTTCTCGCACATGCGCTTTCTCTCACTCTGTTAGAGATTCGAACAGATATTTAACGAATAAGAGTCTATTATTAAAGAAATACATTCAGACATACAGCGGTGGCCAAAATTATTCATACAGGCAATAAATAGTGATTCGACCCTAATATCCCTGCCCTAGTTCTCAACCTATTGAACTGCGGTTTTTAGCAAAATGTAGCCAAGTATTGACACTTACTACACTAAAAGTATCAACACAGTTGAAGGTATTTTGATGATGCAACGATAAAGAATATTAAAATTGTAGAATTATAATTTAATCCAAAATTATTCATACAGCTAAATCTTCATCAAAAGAAAGACTTTAACTCTAGTAATAAATAACAAATTGAATTAGTTTCGTATACAAACTTCTTAATTCGACTTCAATATTTCTGATGAACGTGATCAAGAATAACTTCATCGTTTTTATTCTGATATCCAAAAAATAAAAGTATGTACAGACATAACGCTTTCTCTTATCTCACAGCTCTGTTAACTATCGTGCAAGGGAAATAGTAAACTTTCCATTATTGAAAAAACCAGATGTGCTCAATAGATATCAGAGAAGGAATGTAATTGCTCTTCAGAATTTTTTAATTAGACGATGCTATCAGTTCGCAAATAGTGTTTATGAAATCTTGTTATGTGTTTTTCATTATATTTCTGCATAGCATCCGAGTTTTTTTTGTCCTTTCTATTCGTGTTGTTTGATAATCGTTCTGTCTTTACTTCATTGCATCTACTCATCTATTCTGTCGTATTTCAAAACAATACTTTGATTTTTGAGTTACTAAAGCATGAGACCCAAATTCAAAAAATATTCAGAAGATTTTCGAAATTTCGTGGTCAATCGCTATCTAGATGGAGATTCATTCGGTGATATTGCAAAATACATGAAAATTCCGCAAGCAACAGTTCAATCGATTGTGAAGAAATACAAATTATACAAAACAGTAAAAACTTTTCCAAGTCGTGGAAGAAAAAGAATAACAATGAAAAGAGTAGACGATTTTATACAAAGAACACTGCTCTCGGATCGAAAAAAATTGTCTATTGCAATTAGAGAAGAGTTGCAGAATTTATTAGGTGTTGAAATCTCCACGACAACAACTAAACGTCGGATCCTATAGAGCATATATGGACTATACTCGATCGACGTATTCGACAATGTATACCAACACTAAATAAATGCGGAAACTTCGGGTTTAAATCCGAGAGTTATGTGTACTTCAAAAAGTGAATGAGACAGATGAGTCGTTCTAGAACGTGTGGACATCAAAATTATACTGGGGAACCTACCCTCTAAACTGTTGATTTCTATTGAGTATTGCCAAACCAATAGGACTTGGGACCGAATACAGCTCAAATTTGAACTCTTCCCCTTGATTTACCCTAAGAAAGTCGTTTTTCCTATAACTTGATTTCTATTGGTCACTGCTCAACCAATAGTATTTCGATGGAAGTGGAATACAGATTCGAGTTCTCCATCTGAGAAAACCTCGAAGTATCATCACTGTGATCGGAAGATAGAGCTCTATTTGTGGATCAATTAGATCGTGGACAAAAATATAACCTAGTTCTCTTTAATTATCTTTGTGATAGATGAGCCAACCTTCTTGTTTCTTTATGTTTTATATACCATTTTGTAGCTCGTGAAATTCTCTATCGAATGGTATATAATAGTTGGGGTTTTAGTTGACTATGATAGGAAAAGTCTTTTACGAAAGTGGGGATGGGTCGATCTTTCCATAGGGAAGGTGCAGGAAAAAATGAGTATTTTTGTAATAACTCAGGAAGGGCTCGGCCAATCCTTCTCATCTTCGAACTTGACCGAGATATTGTTAAGACTGAACTGTGTAGAAAATTTCATCGCGATCGGACTCTCCTCTCGAAAGTTATCGAATAAACGGACGGACGGCCGGCCGGACACACTGACCGATTTTAGTAGTGTACTCACTTTTTGAGTACACAAAAATGAACACGAATTAAAACAATTTTTGATTGAAGAGTGGAATTAGATTGGAAGCGATGTAACTGAAAAATTAGTTGATTCAGTTGAAAATTGTTTATAAGAGTGTCT